TGACTATATTACTCCTCAAACAGAGTGGTCAATCTCTATCAATCATCTTGTCTAGCTGTCAATGCACACATGGAAATTGGCAAAACCTCAACTATCCAATTAGCACAGGATCATTCTTATCAGACTTTCTTCCTGAAGCCAAGATATGGTTAAACCCGGCATCTCTACCACAGTGCTCGGTCTGCCATACTTTGGCTTCATTTATTCTATTCTTCAGTAATATGCTTATTTATGAAGTTGATTATTTGGTTTGAATGCACAGTGCATGTTAAATAGATATAATTTGTTGGCAAAATTGCTGCTTGGTAAAGTGTGTTAGTTTTGATGTGTGTTTTTCAATGTGGATGGGGAACAGAAGAGATGCTGCTGCAGAGTTTTATTGTGAGTGAGTGAGTGAGTGAGTGAGTGAGTGAGTGAGTGCTGCACTTGGCATGATGGGAACTGTACATTGCATGAAGGGAAAAAAACAATCTTTTAAATTTACCCAGTTTCAAAAGTATTAAACTGTAAATTTCAGAATCTGAAAAAAATTGTTGAAAATTTCATATTTCTTATTAAACATGTCAATCATTAACATGTCATCTGTTAATGTAATACAGGGCTAAAACCTTGTTCTATCTCGCTATTTGATGTGAACAAATTGCTTGTTAAAACCCCTTCCGTATGTACTGACGCATTAACCCGAGTTTCCTGTGTGTGACGTAGTTCATGGTAGTGGATGCAGCATGTTCCAGACTACAACTGTGCCATGTGTCAAAATGACATCTCCACACCGTGGAAATCTGGGTGAATCATGTTGAAATAATCAGCTATCAAGTGTCACTGACAGTAGCTAAGGTGATACTGATTACAAAAGAACATCTGGCGAAATAGAAATATACGCACTTGTATTGACGACCATGGGAATTCCACTCACCTGAAAACCACAAACCCCTATTTTTCTAAATGGAGCAATCCAAACATATTGTTGGCAGAGTTTATTGAAAGATCAAGGGGGGGTTGGGTAGTGACCCGTGGTGATTTTCCAGTACAGTTCAGGTTAAAGGGGCTAATTTGCATACAGGTGGTGTTGGCGGGGCGTCATCGAAGTAGGTGTCACAATTTCATAGCTTCCGAAAAACTCCAAAACAAACGCATTAACGGTACAATCCCTTTCAAAATGTGAATGAAGTGGAAACGAGAACAATGAATTGTATGAATCCTTGTTTATAGACAAGAGGTAGCTCTTAGTTCAATATTTGGACAGATGAAAATGCTTCTACTCGCATGTTTGACACTTTAATGTTTGCAAATGAAATCAATGTCATGGCAACTTAAATATTTTCATGAGGCCAGCATAGTGCTAATTACTGACATAGGTTATTTTGAATATTTATTCTATTTGAAGATTGTATATGATCTATAGAGTATATATTTAGAATCAGCATAATTATGACTATATCTATCAAATGCACAATTGTGCGTGTCTGCACAATTTTATGTTTCATTATTCACATTTCTCTCAGCAGGTGTAAAAATGAAGTTTTTAAGATTCACACAGTTTCAGGTCTCTGTGGACCAGACAAACCAGTGACTGAGTGTTTGAGCAACAAACCACATCCTCAAGGTTCAAGGACGCTAGGGCATTCAGAACCCGTGAAGATCAGGGTAAGAATTGGTCTTCAGCAACCCATGCTTGTCTTAAGAGGCAACTAACGGGATCGGGGGGTCAGGCTTGCATGATGCATGTCATCGTATCCCAACTGTGTAGATCGATGCTCGTGATATCAACCACTGGATGGAGACTCAATTATTGACAGACCACTGTCATATAGCTGTGTGCAACGTTAAACAACAAACAAACAAACAAACAAGGCACTCAGTGAAGTCAAAGAGCTGGACCATCCAGTCCCCTATTCTAGTCTCCACAAGTGGCCAGTTGGTAAGGCCAGGCCATTGACCTGGGCCCTGTGCCACAATGCAATCTTAGTGCTACGATTATCATTAGTCTGTGTTAAAGTATGGTTCTTATGATCCACTTAGCGCTAAGATCACTTTGTGGAATGGGGCCTTGTTTTTTAATGGATGATTTGTTTCTATAAAAGTAAAGAAAAAGTAAGAAACCCCGTAAGAAAAAAAAGAAGAAAAAGTCTGTGTTTTGATGATGGAAAGTGTGTTTATATAAAATGTAACTTTTGTTTGATTATTTTCTCAAATGTATAGCATATTCATATTAACTAAAAAAAGGATTTTCAAAATAAATTTTCCCCATCTGAATTATCTCTAATCAATTCTCGTCAATTGCAATAAACTTTAATCTCATTCACTTTTGCTCCAAAACATTGATAAAAAGAGAAGTATACTTAGCTTGAGTAATATGTAAAAGAAACAGAATCATTAAACAACATGAATTACGACATCATCACAAACTTGTTATATGAATATGCAAAATAAGTCTGCAAAAGTATGTACACAAGACTATTCATTTTAGTAAAAACAGTCTTAATGAGTTTTATACCAAATGGGCAATGAATCATGGCTTATTTGCATCAGAGCTACAGACTACGTTAACATTTTATTAGAGATGTTGTTACAACAGTTACTTTATAATGTTATGATATGAATTAGCCCAGATGTAATATGTATGAATGGTGATGTCTTGTAGCCCCCCCCAAAAAAACAAACAAACAAACAAAACAAAAAACAAACAAACAAAAATGTTTTTTGTTTGTTTTTTGTTTTGTTTGTTTTTTGTGTTCCCTGGCTACAGAAACACATATGTCACAGGGATACAGAAATATTAAAAAAAAATTAAATTAAAAAAAATAAGAAAAAAATTATGTACCCAGAAAAGTATGCTTCACTGAAAAAGAAACTATGCACCGGTTTATGCAGATTTTGGGGTGCCATGTCATGTATATATACTAGGCACAAAAAGAAACTATGCACTAGTTTATGCAGTTTTTATGGTGCCATGTCATGTATATATATATACTAGGCACAAAAAGAAACTATGCACATGATAAAATCATAAAGTTTCTTTTGGTGGCCAGTATAGTTTTATTAATGCCTTGTCATTGATTTTAATCAATTTAACTTGATCAGTATTCATGACTTCCGCTTGTTGGTTGAGACAACCTTTGGGCTCCAAGTGACCTTTGAATGAACTCGATATGCTTGTATGTCATTGATATGAATATTTAAACATAATATTTACTTATAGGATACCCAAACAAACACTTCAAAAGAAAATCCAGCTCTCTGCATTTTCCTCATGCGATGTCTACACAGCATTAATTTATTTTGAGTATGTGATTAATTCAGTCATGAAATTGAATGCCTATTAACAGCTTGACACCAGCAATCACACGATGGTCAATGTCGTCCAGTCGGAGTTCTACTTGGGTCAAATTAGCTGATTCAGTTTTCACAAGTTACCTCCAACACAGCAATTCAATGTAGACTGCCATTAAATGTCATTTAAGCATGAAATTGACCCCTTTAGAAAATAACCTGTATTTCAAATCACTATCGAATTATTGCCACATCATTTATTCGATCCATCACTTCGATGTCCAACAAAATTCACAGGAGTGTTCTTACAATGGAGGCATTTCTTTGGCTTCACCCTCTCAATGTGATGTTTTCAAGGAGAATCAATACATTTTATTTATAGTCTTAATATAGTTAAGTTTGGAAATGAATCTTATAAATCCAGAAAGATTCAAAATTGCAACTTCCTTAATCAATCTAATCTTTATAAAAATCTATTCCTGATAAAACATTACATCAATGATTTAAAAAAAATAGTAGTTGACGAAACAAACTTGACTATCTTCAAGACAATTAAAACATACCTTATATTTTTTAATTAATTTTCACATTACTAGCTAAAGAAAATGAGTTTTTTCCAGGTTTACAACTACAAACTAAAACAACTGAAATTGTCAGTGGTAAGGGCCAACCCTTTATGTATTCAGAATACTGCATTCAAATCTAAAGCTCTTGTTTGACACTTCTAGGGTTAACCACGCCATCACACAGTAAGAAGAATCAATCATTTCCTTGCTCCGCCTTGGAATTCCCCCTTCCTCCCCCACACAAGTCCTGGGTCACCTTGACCCCTGCTGACCACCTAGGCCCTGACTGGGTTGTGATTTCACGAGGCCCTCAATGGGTACAGATTCCACCGAGGCCCCGACTGAGTAGTAATTCCACGAGGTCCCCTGGGGATGCTACCAACAGGTGGGAGATAGGGAGGCACTCAACATTGACTTCAGCAGCCATCAGGGGTCTTTGTTTAGTACATTTGATGCTTTGAAGGACATAAAGGTTGGAATAAAATTGACATTATTCCCTCAGATTTACTTAAGTATTGAGAAAACAGGCTTCATTTTGAATACCTAGAGTCTTGTTTTGTGTGGATTATTCAGTTTGAGAAACATAAAAATTAAACAAGATGTTGGTGGAAGATGATGACCAGAGAAGTCTTTCCTGGCAACTAATTGTGACAGTAAGCAAGTTAAAAGTTTCAATAAGTAGTAAAATAAAATTCGAGATCTCTGTTTATTTTTTACCAGATTACATTACAGTCAACTTTTTTATGATATTGTATATTCATAACATAGCAATATTTGTATTCTGTTTTGTATGTCAATGTTTTAATTAGTCATGTTTATGTTTCGTACCCTGCCCCCTGTGGGTGTTTATGTACAATGAATATTCTTCTTCTTCTAACATATAAGCATATATTAACAGTAATATTCAAATTTTTCAAATAAAGTTAAACATATACAGCAACTATATACAATAGTATAGTCAGTATTTTATATGTTCTTGCTAAAGAATTTTCTTAGAGTAAACCATTTGATTTTATGTAAAAAAATCAAGGCAATTTTATTTCTTGATTGTAATTTAATAGTTAAGGCGTTTATCCAGAAACCCAATCCATTAAATCAGATTAATTTATTCCAGAAGGCTGACCCCTCAATTTGAATTTAACAGTCAAAGTTTCCTGGAGCTTAACTTGTTGATTGTAAGATTTGATGTCCAGTCTTGCCAACAATCTGTGATCTCAATCTGTTCCTCTTGTGTGGGGCCCACTGACCACTGAGTGGCCACACACCTCCTCGGGGCCCCTGGGGCACTGACTGGAGCACTCTGCTCCGGTCCCGCTGACCGATGGGGTGGTCAAGTGGACGGAAGCCATCTGGACAATCAGACCACTACAGTATGAATGGTACAGATTACTAGGAATTTATGACAATCAGCCAGGCAGTTCATTCATTCATTCACAAGGGGTTTTGTATGTGATAAAATATGGGAGTGGGTGGAGGGAGTCCCCTCCCCCCCTCCCACAGTAACCCCCACACACACACACACACCCTTTCTTAGCTTCGCCTGTCCGAGTCCCCTGTTTGAGGCTTGTTCTTCTGTTTTGAATGGACTGTTTTCAGCTTGTATTATTGACTTTTGAAGAGATTAGTCACTGTTTTTTTGGTCCCTCCCCAAAGAATCAACTCTGTTACAAGACTCATCTGTTTTCAATGACCCCCCCTCCCCCTGACACACACTCCTACAGACCTAGCCCCTACCCACCCACCCCCGATCAGCCACTCTATTGTGTTTCTCAGTGACGAATCTTTATAATCTTCAAAACATAACATTCAGATATGTTTAACTAAACTTTCACACACAAAATAAAATTAATCAAAATTTGTAGAACTGTTATTTATCGGGCCTCATAAGTCTAACTGATTTCAGTATTGAAAAAACGTCTTTGAAAACATGAGAAGGTTTTAATTATTTCACCCACCAAACTTCTTTAAAGAGACCACTTAAAATAAAAATTTAATAATTTTAATTTAATTTTATTTCAATGTCTCACTCCGAGATTCTGGAAAATAATTTGAACTAAATTTGTTCTAAAACAGAGGCCTTAGAAGATACCACATTTCCGCCATTAGACGGATCTAAATTTCACAGATATAACACAATCTACAATAAGATTCAATACACAGCCACAAAACGCATTTCTGTCTGCCTTTCACTAGCGATATTACTGCTAGACTGTCCTGCAGTTGTGAGAAAGATTTTTTTTTAAAGCCGTAGTGCCAAGATTGGTTTCTGAAATTGGAACCAAGGCGACAGACAACGAGCACAATACCTGTGTCCCAAAACAAACTACTGACAATCGCCATTTATCACATCCACTCCAGTGTAAGGCAACACATCCTCTATCAAACCACCACTCACCCGAAATAGAGAGTCATGGCATTCACTATGAACGCTGTCAAAACCTTTTTATTCAACAATCCATGCCTAGGCTACTATTTCACTTCTCATAGGTATCCAGTTTTATGTCTTTAACATAATGTCACAAAAACGGATGACATTGACATTTATTCCTGAAAAGAATTATCCATCAAAAAGCCCATGCCATCAACAAAACTATATAACTGATTCATTCAGGGACATTTCTTCTATTGCTTATCCCAAGGTCTTTTCATTCACTTCTCCACCTTTAACCCTAAAATGGTAAAACCTATGATTCTTTAAAATTATATTTTTGTTTTAACTCTGAAGATATATAAATAACTATTCATATGAATCGGAAAATTATTCTGAATTCGATGACATATGATTTGAATATATTTAAAGAAAAACAATGTTAGCATGACGATTAATAGTTATACTGTCAAAAGGGTTAAATCACTTAATGCAAACAGCAGAGCTTTTGTGCTCTATGTACATCTAGATTCAGCAGCGTTAGATGTCCTGAATATATAGAAAGAGGAGTACATTCAACACTTGAGTGACCTACTGTTATTTGCTTGGCTATTAATATATGATGAGCCGAGATGCAAATGTCAGACTTCTCAAAGTAATACCTTATAAACACAGATTTGAATAGCGAACAAGCGATCTTTGTTGAATATATTTTGAAGCCCTTTAAAGATGCATACACCATTTAAGATAGTGAAAGGCTTTTCAGGAGCAGGTAGTCAGTTGTAAAAATGTGTGTGTTAGTTGTCAGTCATTATGAAATACAGACATAAATAATTGTTATTTGTTAACTAAAGATGCACATAGTCCTTATGACAGGCTTAGCTGAAACATGGCTTTCCTTGTGCTCTGGGAACAGACATTAAGCTATCTTATTTCTCCCTATTTGAAATCTTTCTTTATTACTATATACACATATTTATTCCTTTCATCCCGAAGATCACCATGCGTGAAATTGAAAGTTCTCATAATCAACTATTTGTTATAAACATGTCTTTCATAAGTACATTGAGAATCTCAGCCGAGTTTCTTCTGATATTAAGTACACATCAACACCAGCCCATAAAAGTTTCAAACTGAAAGGCTTGCTAAGGACTTAAACTTTCTTGATGAGTGTTGATATATTTGATGTTAAGAGACACAAGGGTGAGATTCTTTTTATCAACCAAAATAATTTTTCCAACTTTTTCACTTTAACAGTAATAACCAGTGTCTTGACTGTCAAAAGTTCCGCTAAAATGCTTCAGTGGCAGAGTGATTAGTGATGTCATTTGATTGTGATGTCATGGCAACTGATGACATCATAATGGTCTGCAACAATTGTAGAGATATATCCTCAATATCACCCAAGCGATATCTCCTGTGGAGGCCAGTTTTGGATGAGAAATGGACAATTATTTGTGAAACAATGACAAAATATATCTTTTTATTTTATTTTGAACTGTTCTCTCCATTGCAATATAACTGATATCCATCAACTATGAAACAAGACAACTGTGTGAGGCTTCTTCTTTTCTGGTGGGAATCCTTATGTAAGGGAAATAACTCTGATTAAATACAGCCCTTGGGAGCAACAGGTGAGTCTACCTGTTGATTGTCTTGTTGCTGTGCTGCAGCTTTTGATGCTGGCTCAGAGGGATGGATTACTTGTCTCATCAACTGCTGTGTGTACATGTTGCTCTATCGTTGTAATTTAATAGAGTGATGGGAGATTTGGGGTTGGGTGTGTGTGTGCAGTAATGATGGTGGGTAAGAGGGGTGGGGTTCTTTGGGTGAAAGGGTAAATGCATGGGTATTGGTAGGATTGGGTAGAGGGTGGGGTGAGATAGGGGTGGGGTGCGTAAATGGCGGAGAGGGTTGGGTGGGAATGGGGTGAAGTAGGGGTGGTGGTTGGGGCATGTGAATAAAGGTGGTTGGGGAGAGATGAGGGTGGAGAGAGGTCGGGGTGGGGGTGAGGGTACATGTATGAAGTAGACGGTGGGGAAAGATGGGGATGGGGAGAGGTCGGGGTGGGGGTGAGGGTGAGGGTGAGGGAACATGCATGAGGTAGTGGGTTGGGAGAGGTGGGGGTGAGGGTGAGGGTAAATGCATGAAGTAGAGGGTGGGGAGAGATGGGGGTGGGGGTGAGGATACATGTTTGAAGTAGAGGGTGGGGAGAGATGGGGGTGGGGGTGAGATGGGGGTGAGGGTGAGGGTACAAGCATGAAGTAGAGGGTGGGGAGAGATGGGGGTGGGGGTGAGATGGGGGTGAGGGTGAGGATACATGTTTGAAGTAGAGGGTGGGGAGAGATGGGGGTGGGGGTGAGATGGGGGTGAGGGTGAGGGTACAAGCATGAAGTAGAGGGTGGGGAGAGATGGGGGTGGGGGTGAGATGGGGGTGAGGGTGAGATGGGGGTGGGGGTGAGGATACAAGCATGAAGTAGAGGGTGGGGAGAGATGGGGGTGGGGGAGAGATGGGGGTGGGGGTGAGATGGGGGTGGGGGTGAGGATACAAGCATGAAGTAGAGGGTGGGGAGAGATGGGGGTGGGGGTGAGATGGGGGTGAGGGTGAGGGTACAAGCATGAAGTAGAGGGTGGGGAGAGATGGGGGTGGGGGTGAGATGGGGGTGAGGGTGAGATGGGGGTGAGGGTGAGGGTACAAGCATGAAGTAGAGGGTGGGGAGAGATGGGGGAGAGATGGGGGTGGGGGTGAGATGGGGGTGGGGGTGAGGATACAAGCATGAAGTAGAGGGTGGGGAGAGATGGGGGTGGGGGTGAGATGGGGGTGAGGGTGAGGGTACAAGCATGAAGTAGAGGGTGGGGAGAGATGGGGGTGGGGGTGAGATGGGGGTGAGGGTGAGGATACATGTTTGAAGTAGAGGGTGGGGAGAGATGGGGGTGGGGGTGAGATGGGGGTGAGGGTGAGGATACATGTTTGAAGTAGAGGGTGGGGAGAGATGGGGGTGGGGGTGAGATGGGGGTGAGGGTGAGGATACATGTATGAAGTAGAGGGTGGGGAGAGATGGGGGTGGGGGAGAGATGGGGGTGAGGGTGAGGATACATGTTTGAAGTAGAGGGTGGGGAGAGATGGGGGTGGGGGTGAGATGGGGGTGAGGGTGAGGATACATGTTTGAAGTAGAGGGTGGGGAGAGGTGGGGGTGGGGGTGAGATGGGGATGAGGGTGAGGGTACAAGCATGAAGTAGAGGGTGGGGAGAGATGGGGGTGGGGGTGAGTATGGGGTGGGGGTGAGGATACATGTATGAAGTAGAGGGTGGGGAGAGATGGGGGAGGGGGTGAGGTGGGGGTGAGGGTAAATGCATGAAGTAGAGGGTGGGGAGAGATGGGGGTGGGGGTGAGGATACATGTTTGAAGTAGAGGGTGGGGAGAGGTGGGGGTGGGGGTGAGATGGGGATGAGGGTGAGGGTACAAGCATGAAGTAGAGGGTGGGGAGAGATGGGGGTGGGGGTGAGATGGGGGTGGGGGTGAGGATACATGTATGAAGTAGAGGGTGGGGAGAGATGGGGGAGGGGGTGAGGTGGGGGTGAGGGTAAATGCATGAAGTAGAGGGTGGGGAGGGGTGGGGGTGAGGGTAAATGCATGAAGTAGAGGGTGGGGAGAGTTGGGGGTGAGGGTAAATGTATGACGTAGAGGGTGGGCAGAGATAGGGTGGAAAGAGATGGGGGTGGGGGTGAGGGTAAATGCATGAAGTTAGAGGGTGGGGTGAGATGGGGGGGTGGGGGTGAGGGTACATGCATGAAGTAGAGGGTGGGGAAGGGTGGGGGTGAGGGTAAATGTATGAAGAAGAGGGTGGGGAGAGATGGGGTGGAAAGAGATGGGGGTGGGGGTGAGGGTACATGCATGAAGTAAGAGGGTGGGGTGAGATGGGGTGGGGGTGGGGGTGGGGGTGAGGGTACATGCATGAAGTAGAGGGTGGGGAGAGATGGGGTGGGGGTGGGGGTGAGGGTACATGCATGAAGTAGAGGGTGGGGAGAGATGGGGGTGAGGGTACATGCATGAAGTAGAGGGCAGGGTAGCTGCAACTGTATGGGTTTTGGTACACAAAACGGTTGTGAGGATTCTCCGAGTCAACACAAATGGAGAGATTGCTTTGAAGATGACAATATGAACCTTTGAAGATGACAATATGAACTTAAACAACGTGAAGTATATCTGTCAAATTAAAAAACTTCAATGATTTCTGAAGGTAGGGCTGGAGCCCGCACCCCCACCCCATCCCCCTCAATGAAGACCCCCTTGTTATCGGTGAGCTGACTTTATACACAGTCAACTTCATGTTTCTCAAGTATTTAGTTTGGGATAAGGGGACCATGAATCATTACAAAATGAATTGGGACCAAAAATAGCAGCCGATTTGAGTGTTCCCATACGGAAGTACTGGGCCACGCTATCTTTTAGCTGCCACATACGAGGTCCCTGGGAGTGGCAACACCCTCAGATCGAGGGTTAAACATGACAATGAATATACATGAATAAGACATCCGGTTCAGTTTTTTTTACAATTTGTTTTACATTTTTATTATTTTGAGACTTCTGACAACTTGTGTTTTACAAAATCCATTAAGTGATAAGAATTTTTTTATTTAAATTTAATTTGAGTTTTCTTTATTAACAATGAAGAAATATTCTCCCAAGATGTCTGTTGGTAAGTCTAGTGGTATTAGCATTGGATCTTGGCAATAAAACACCATGTTGAATCTTTTGGGAGACCCATAGTGGAGACCTTCCTCAGACCAGTCATCTGAAGTTTCAGCTTTGGGTTTGGTAGTACACCAGTGCTGCCAGGCCCTTGACAGAGTTGTCTCCCTTGAAAACATCAATGTCTTGTCAATCCAGTCATCTATTAAAGCACGGTGACTCTATTGTAAATATATTAAGATGCAGCAGTTTGCAGGATGCAGTTGTGCTACAACTGCTTTGTCAAACGGGAGGATTGGAAAATACATGTATTCAATGTTTAGAGAAATTGAAAAAATACATGGTATGCATCTTGCTTCTGCAGCCTCATTTATTTATTTATTTATTTATTTATTATCTGCAAAATATAGTTTGCTGTTTTAACGTTTTATAATTTCTTCTTAATTTAAGTTAGATTTAAGTATTCATGAGATTCATAAAACCTCTTTCTGACATACACACATACTCTACACGTGTTCTACATATATTACCATAATACATTAACCACAACAAATAAAAAAGATATGGCGTAAAGTTAAGATTCACTTCGAAGTCTGATCATGAATCACTCATAGTAATCTCTTCCTGTATCAATGAGCACCCCTCAACCTTAAGCCCTGCCCCTCTCTCTGAATACCACTCTACCCCACCCCCCATCCCCAAAATAGGAATCCCCTTTGAACACCCCTCCACCTGTTATTCAACCCCTCCAGGCCACCCTGATCACACACCGTGCCTCCACCCTAACCTTGCCATACTCCCCAACCTGCATGCCTCCTGCCCCCACCCCCCTACCTTGCACCCCCACCCCCCTACCTTGCACCCCACCCCAACCTTGCCCCTCTTGTGGCCCCAGCAACAGTTCCTGTAGTACATGTTGTATGCATCTGAGTGATTTTTATGTTGTAAACACATGAATCCTTATTAACTCTTTATCTGGCAAGTGCTTGATTTATTGTAAACCTTTTTACTTAACTGTTTGGATTTGTGTTTGTTTTATATTTAACGCGAGATTTGGATTTGTAAGCGACTTCAGAGATCATTTTGAGGGTCTGCTTCACAAGACTAACAGCTCCAAACAGCATGCAACTGTGTCCTCCCTTCTTACGATCAGCTGTTATTTATTGACAACCAGCTGTTTTTTTATTTCATATTTTACAGAAGGCATGGATGGACCAGTTGTTTAAGGCACCACATTTTCCTGTGCAGAGTTGTGTCCCTTATACATGCCAGGATCCTATGATCGTGGGATAGAATCCCAGATTTGCCTTGCAAATGATCCTGTTGTTTTACCCTGCCCAAATCAGCAGGTTTCACCGTATCCATGTCTGCAGGTTTCACCATACCTGTGTCAACAGGTTTCACCATACCCATGTCAGCAGGTTTCACCATACCCATATCAGCAAGTTTCACCATACCCGTGTCAGCAGGTTTCACCATACCCGTGAAATCCTACCCTCCTCTATTCCTCCAATTTGACAGCTATAAACAAGCAACAAGAAATTGTCTCGCAGTCTGATGTAACCCATTCCTCATCTCAATAGTCAAGCTCTCCTCCGACCTCTCTACTGGCGTCACCCATTCCTCATCTCAATAGTCAAGCTCTCCTCCGACCTCTCTACTGGCGTCACCCATTCCTCATCTCAATAGTCAAGCTCTCCTCCGACCTCTCTACTGGCGTCACCCATTCCTCGTCTCAATAGTCAAGCTCTCCTCCGACCTCTCTACTGGCGTCACCCATTCCTCGTCTCAATAGTCAAGCTCTCCTCCGACCTCTCTACTGGCGTCACCCATTCCTCATCTCAATAGTCAAGCTCTCCTCCGACCTCTCTACTGGCGTCACCCATTCCTCATCTCAATAGTCAAGCTCTCCTCCGACCTCTCTACTGGCGTCACCCATTCCTCGTCTCAATAGTCAAGCTCTCCTCCGACCTCTCTACTGGCGTCACCCATTCCTCATCTCAATAGTCAAGCTCTCCTCTGACCTCTCTACTGGCCTCATCCATTCCTCATCTCAATAGTCAAGCTCTCCTCCGACCTCTCTACTGGCGTCACCCATTCCTCATCTTAATAGTCAAGCTCTCCTCCGACCTCTCTACTGGCGTCACCCATTCCTCATCTCAATTGTCAAGCTCTCCTCCGACCTCTCTACTGGCGTCACCCATTCCTCATCTCAATAGTCAAGCTCTCCTCCGACCTCTCTACTGGCGTCACCCATTCCTCATCTCAATAGTCAAGCTCTCCTCCGACCTCTCTACTGGCGTCACCCATTCCTCATCTCAATAGTCAAGCTCTCCTCCGACCTCTCTACTGGCGTCACCCATTCCTCATCTCAATGGTCAAGCTCTCCTCCGACCTCTCTACTGGCGTCACCCATTCCTCATCTCAATAGTCAAGCTCTCCACCGACCTCTCTACTGGCGTCACCCATTCCTCATCTCAATAGTCAAGCTCTCCTCCGACCTCTCTACTGGCGTCACCCATTCCTCATCTCAATAGTCAAGCTCTCCTCCGACCTCTCTACTGGCGTCACCCATGGGCGGATACAGCTTTTTTGAAAAGGGGGGGTGCACAATTAAGATCCATTTATTGTCTTTGGTGGTAATTTATACAGAAATAAAGATTTTTTTCGAAATAAAAAGGGGGGTGCGCATCCCCGCACCCCCCCTCTGTATCCGCCCATGTCACCCATTCCTCATCTCAATAGTCAAGCTCTCCTCCGACCTCTCTACTGGCTTCACCCATTCATCATCGACACTGTCACTCTTCTGGCGTAGGTAGTAAAGGGTTAACAACAGATTGTGACCCGAACCTTGATGTTATTACGCACTTGAATTGTTGTCTTTCTGCTCAGGTGCTGCAATCAATTTCATTGGATATCTTGGATCTGATTTGCATGAGTACTTTATCTGCTGGGCTGCCCTGGGATCCGTTTACTTGCTAAAGTCTTTGTAGTTGTCAGGTACCGTGTTAAAATCAAATCAATTCAACAAACTGTATTTGCTTCTTTTCATGGCACCAATAGCTAAACAATTAATAAATTAGGGCAAATAAACTGTGTTCCGTGCTTTACAGATTTATTCAGTCAATATTCAAGACGCAGGAGAGAAAAAAAACACATAGAGAAATCAAAATATGTTGTCAGATGAATTTCATAATTTTATTATTGATATAAAAGAACACAAAACACAAACATCTATGTTCAAAATAAGCATATTTCTTTAGCATATAAGCATATCACTTTAAGACACAATGATGAGTGAAAAAAATATTTTACAAGTGGCATCTCAAATGACATTGTAATGTCGCAGCAATGACATGGTGAGGTTAAGTCACAGTATTTATAAAAAACAAGGTCTGCGGTAAACAACTTGTTTTTCACAACAATGACAGAAGTGAAGGACAGTTTATTTATATCGTGGGAACATAAAAATATCCAAGCGAATTAGCTTTCTGGTAATGATGTCCCTGTTGTGATTGTTGGAAATAATAGGGGACTGATGCATGCACCTTGTGGTGGATGTACAGACGTGGATTCATCGGTCATATGGCTACTCAGCATGGACAGTGCTTGTGTGGAAGACCACCGAGTGAGATGATCTTTAGCTGTGAGATGGGTGACTGTATTGACAGTCAGTAATGACAGATGGTCATTTATGGAGAAGATTTCACTTCTCGACGTTTTTCTCGAAAAAGTTTCGTTACAAACTGTAAATTTCTCATTTAACTCATCAATCAAGACCGTTCGTTTCACAAAGTGACATTTTTGTTACTTGACCAGCCTGTATTCTTTCACTTCCAAAAGCGGTCTCCTAGTTTCAAGAATATTTTTTGTCAAAGTTGATTTTGTATGTAATCATATCGAAAAGTATGATTAAGAATTTTCGTGCCCTAAATAAACTTTTGTTTATATTTTTCAAGATTTTGCAAACACAAAACTACTTTTTAAGTCATAAATTCAAAGGGTGGTGAACCGTCCCTGTGTGTTAGGTAGGGAGAATTTGCGTTTCACAGTTTTACATTTGTAAGGAAATAATATAATTTTCCATAAAATATCTAAA